AGAAAATAGAGTGTTGTGGCTATGTGAAGGGTCTTCAGAAAGTTCGTAGACATATATTATGAACAACTATTCTTAGATTTCATAATGTTTTGTACCAAAATAAACATATTTTAATTCCATTTTCTGTGAGCTTTTAAAGACCCCTTGTATGATGTCTGACTTGTCAGGTGGCTAAGGAGGCTAGGGATCAGTTCAAGGAAGTATGAACACTGGCGGCCCAGCCTCAGTAATGCAGGCGAGGGTTCCGTGTGCGAAACTGGAACGGCCAGGGAAGCCCTCAATCTGGCCCCAATCGCGCTGTGCATCCTGACCGACCCAGAGGCGATAGACCCTGTTCAGAGTGCCTGTTTCCTTCTCTCTCAGAAGGAAGAAAGAAACTTTTAAAATGTAAGGAAAAGAGAAGAAGAATGTGAGTGTTTGTAGTGCTGGGGGAACTGTGGCCTTCCCTCCCTCTTTCTGTTCCCCTGCTCCTCAGCTGCCTTTGTTGAGGGGGCCCAGTTGGTCCTGACTCAGAGCAGGTCTCCTTGAGTGGCCCTGCATCCTTGACTCAGAAGGGATTCTCCCAGGCAGACCCTGAGACAGGACTGGATCTCAGCGGTTTGTTTGGGAGAAGAAGGAAGAATCAGTAGGCAGGTGGGGAGGTAAGGGGAGGGCTCAGTGAAGGCAGCTGCCACAGTTGTCAGCCACTAGAGCTTCAACCCCCAACAACCCTGGCACGTGCTGGAAGCACTTGGGATATGTCTGCAGCAGCTCCTGTGTGGCATGGATGGCAGAATGCTGGCCAAGGGGGCAGGTGGTAGGGAACCGACCTTGCACCCTGTGATCAGAGCAGCCTCCCCAGGCTCTGAGGAGCTTTAGGCACAGAGATCCAGGCACTGGAACTTCAGAGTACCCAGTGCTCTGACAGTCCAGGGACATGTGTAGATCACTGTCAGCACCTGCATTGGCCTCCCTAGGACAGCAGTGCCAGGCACAGGAGCAGTGGGTCAGGGAATGCAAGGAGAGTCTCCACATGGGGCGAGGGTCATCATCTGGTCTCTCCATAGCCTCGAGTGCTGGCCCAGGCTTTCAGGAAAAAGCCCAGACAGTGGTCCCAGCCTGCACATCAACCTCCAGCCTTGACCGTATGACTCCCCCCCACACAAACACATACATGCATACATATGCACAGGCATGCATGCATGCTCTCGCTCTCACAGATACATAAAGCTGCACATTTCCCCCTCTCTCTAACTCCTCCACCTTCTCCCTCCCTCCCCTATGCCTGTCTCCCTGTCTCTCCTCACTCCCAAATCACCCCAGCCCTGCATCCCCCAGATCCTTTATCTCTTCCTCCCCCGTATCGTCTCACTGCCTCTCTACAACTTTATCTCCCCACGTGTTCCCCCACTCACTCACACACACCCACAGCACTTTAAACATGAACAATTTGCATTTCCTTGAAAGCACCGCATTATCTCATACCTCCTTCAATTAGAAGGCCTTTCTCCCCCTGCCCTGCCTCAGGTCTGTGTCATAATTATCTCAGTAAGCACTTCCTTCGTGGTATCATAATTGTTTATGTGTCTGTTTTCCCACTTCACTGTGAGCGCCTTGTCTTATTATTTCAGAGCGCTCAGTATTTGACCCAGAATGTGGCTCCTAATAAGCCCTCGGTAAGCATCGAGACCACCCCCTGACTGCAGGCTCTCAGGAAGCACGGACTATACCCTTGCCTGAAAATGAACTCTTCCATACTGTGTATCTCGCTCTCTCCTGAGCCATGAGCGACTGTGGGAACGAATGTGGTATTGATTAGACCCTGTGTTACACCCTCCCAGGAAGCATTTGTGTTAATAGCAGCAGCATTAAAGATGTGATTCTTGAAAATTCATTCATTCAATTACTTGTGCCTATAGGGGATAAAATTTGAGGAGAGCAAGTCTTTTGAGCTCCCATTTGATCCCTACTGCACGTGGCGGCAGACACTGTGAACAGGCCACGACCTTCAGGCTCCTGGAGGACAGAGTCCATAGCAAATCCCGTTTTTTAACCAACCAGACTGCCTCGCCTGCTAGCACTAGTTGTAGTAGTGTTAGTTCAACATATTTATTGAACGTAAATACAAGTTCCTCCATATCTTTTGGTAAAATTCACCACTGACAAAAAGCACCTCCATTGGAAAAAATAGGGGAATAGAAAACAAAAGACTGACTCTTAATCTCATTGCTTATGTTTACCCAAGAATCAGATCGGACAATTTATGTGACTCTGTACCCATTTCTTCAGCTCTGATATGGGAAGGCAAGGCCAACTGATCTTGAATGTTTATTCTATTATTTATTCTCTCTGGAGCTGAGAACTAGTATGCAGTGCTGAAGAGCCATGTGTAAAGAAACTCTATGAGGAGAAAGTGTGGCACACTCAGGCCAGCGCGAATGACAGAGGGAAGTGGGAGGAATGGAGGTGAGAAGTCAGAAGGAGGAGGTGTAACGGAAGGTGGGGTGGATTGTGCACGCTCACCTCCTTCCACAGCCTGGATCATTGACCACACTGTGCAGTAATTAAGCCAAAATGAATCACTTGTGTAAAGGAAGGAAGTGAAGGGAAAGTCCTCTTCAGTCAAGGGAGTTTGGCTCAAGCCAGTGCTGTGAAGTGGTACAATGACAACAGTTTACCTGCCGAGTTAACTCTGCTCTTGGGCTTATTAAAACAGATCACCCTGAGGGAATGAGGAATAAGGGGCCTGTCCATACGGGGGCTCCTGGAAGTGCCATGGAACATGAGCAGTTTGACCCCAAGCAGCAAATCTGCCAGTGAAAAGTTTAGACAGGAGGGGAACATGGGTGGGAGCCTGTGCTAGAGAGCAGGGGTGTGCTGGGGAGACAGGACCCACAGGGTCTGATCAGAGAAGAAAGGAGGAATAAAATGAATATGAGACCTACTGGTAGAGAAAAGATGCAAATAAGGATACTTGCTCTGATGTCGCATCAAACATTTTTAGCTGGGAAGTCTTGGACAGATTTATTTACACAGTATTGTTCAAACTTAAAAATCTTCTAAATGTGGGACCAGCAGATGGCATAATGGTTACATTGCTTGACTCCCACGTAGTCTGTTGTAGCTCCAGTCCTGGACTCAGCAGCTTAAAACTCATGCTGGGCATGTGGCATGTGTGCCCAAAGTCCCAAGATGAGAATGGAGAAGAAATTGTACCATGGCCATCCCTCTGGAGGGTGATTTCTTGCTTTCTGTCTCTGTCTCTCTAGCTAGCGCATGTGTCCTGTAGCAAGAAATATCTCTTAAAAGAATCCCCAAAACTTAGGGAACCAGCAGTTAGCGTAATGGCTATGTCGCTGGACTCCCACGTAGTCGACTGCGGTTCGCGTCCCGGACCTGGTGGCTTAGAACTCACGCCAGGCGCGTGTGCGTGCGTGCCCAAGATCCTGAGAGGAGAATGGAGGAGAAGGGATTGCGGCGTGACCGTCCCCCCTGGGGCGTGATTTCTCGCTTTCTGTCTCTATGTCTCTCTCTGTCTGTCTGGCGAGAGCACACGCCCTATAGCGAAAACCTCTCCCCCCCCAAAAAAAAATCCCCAAAACTTCTAAATGTAATACAATAGAACCCTTTGCTTAAATGTAGATATAAGAGGAAATGGGTTTAAGGGGCCTCGAGGCTCTGCAGAGCCTGACTGAAAACCCCTAGTCTCCAGTGTCCAGAAGGTGGACTTGAAGGATAATAACCAAGGGCTGAGACCAGCAAATGGTGTAGTGGTTATGTTGCTGAACTCCTGTACTGACTGTGGTACAAATCTCGGACCCAGTGGCTTCAAAATCACGCTGGGTGTGTGTGTGGGTACATTCCCAAGATCCCAGGAGTAGAATGAAGGAGAAGGAACTGTGGTGTGGCCATCCTCCCTGGGGGGTGAATTCTCACTTTCCCTCTCACTGTGTCTGTCTCTCTCTCCAGCAAGCACACATACCCTAAGGCAAAAACCTCAAAAAAGAAATTGATAATAACCAAGGGCTATAAAAAGAAAAGGCAAAGAAAGACCATAAAGCATTTTTAGGTGGAAATCCCTTGTTCTCGGGGATGTAGAGTTACAGTTTGTATCAGGTATCCCACTTACCATAGTAGTTCTGATTTCAAAATCTGAACAGTTTTGATTTGCATCTTTAATTTAAGTAAGAATACCTGCGGTTCAGTAACATTTCAGATGTGCTGAGAACAATCTAAACTGGCTCCTGAAGATACTTTCTCACTGTTCTTTAGGAAACCCTTAGCAGTTATCACTCCCTTTTGCTTCAACAACGAGCTGGCTAAAACTCATGTTTCCATGAGGAAGTATCTGTCTTTGGGAGGTATAATCCCATAGCAAGGAAATGAGGTAAAATGTCTATTGTTTTCAAAAAGCATTAAAAAAAATCTGTTGTTCTAGGAGAAAAAGACTTTTTGCTCAACTCACCTTTAAGTACAGTAAATGTTAATATTGCGACCTATCTCCATCCCTTTTTAAAGACACTGTCCTTTGGAATCTGAAAAGTATGCCCTTTTAAAGCTCTTGGAGTTAAAAATTAAACATGTCTAAATTCAAAGGAGTTGGTAAAGAATAGAGAGATGTAAATCATATTTTCACAATTGCTTTATTTCTTCATCTTTTCTTAGTTTTATTTGTACTGGCCTTATAAAACTATTATTTAATTAGGTATCTTCCTAGAGCATTACGCTATCTACCCTGTTAATAACATTCTGCTAGAGAGGAAAAAAAAAACCCTACCTGATTCCTATTAAAAATGGGGAAACATATAATACCTTTTAAAATATTTTGAGGGAAACAGATCAGTTTTGGTTATTATTGCTGGTCCATTTGGTGTGTGTCAAAACAAAACTCAGGCCCATTTATGTCCATGCTGAGAACCGAGGGAACAGCTTTCTCATTCGATTATCTCATAGGAATGTGTCTAATTGCAGTGCGTAACAGCCTCATTTAGAAAATGTTCTGATACTCATCTGTGATGGACCACACTCAGTGTTTTTAAGGTTTTAATTACTACTGTACTGAATCAAAGTGCTTTTTTTATGCCTTGCTTTTAAGAAAAAGTCATTCTGTGATTGAATCGCTTTCATCAATTACAGTGTGGTAACAATGCAGACTTCATTATGGAGATGTTCGTACCAGAGCAAACTTGATTTTTACGGTGCTGGTCATTGATGTCTACTGTATGTTTTTATTTATAGAAAGTGGGTTTTGCTTTTAAGCTGATGATGTAGCAAATAATATATGTACTTGCTGTCTAGGTGGACCATAATAATATTTTATATTTTATAGATATTGTATAGATAAGTCAGTAGCACTGTTTTTTTTTTCTTTCCTCCTTTATTTAGGACAAAACTTTTCAAAGAAAACACCTAATGTGTTACTTTCATAATAAAGTAACTTTTTTATGATAGTTTAATAAAAATGTGCAAGTTGATATATGTAAATCAAGATTTTATTCCCTAAAGTGATGAACAGCTAAGTACAATCTCAACAGATCTTGTTTTGTTTAAAATTTACATGACATTTTATTGACTTCAGCTTTTGATATGTGTTATTTTGAAATAATTTATTTTCTAAGATAAGTTGAATTTCTTGCCAACATCAGCTTTTACTTTCTGTTCACTGTTCCTTTATGTCATAAAGACTGCAAGATGTTTACAGGTGTTAGTTATACAAATACCCACCTCAAGATGAAACTTTGCTTACATTTAGACTGAGTATGAGACTCAAATGAAGAAGATGCATCTACTCTCGAAAGACAGCCTGGGAATAAAAGGTGAACAGAAAGATGAAGACAGAGAAAAGGTAATAAAAGAAAATGATAAACTTTGTATTTACAGAGGATTTCCGGGGCGTTTATACTTTAAGATACTGTTTTAAATAACATCATCTTATTACACAGTTATCTTTTGATTAAACCTTGAATTATTAAAGACTTCTGCTTATAGAATATTGCTTTATGTCTAATTTGATGGCATTTACTAAAAGACAAGCCACTTTGGGGTTAAGCAAACTCCAAAGAAAACCTCAGTGTTTTCCGTAGATAAAATTGTGTTTTTGTAAATAATATTTTCTAGTTGCCTTTTTCTTAATTTGAGGCATGTTTTAAGAGAAAAGTAAACAGATACTGCATTTTGCTTCTTTTCTTTGTGTGTATTGTTTTGTACATTTTAACCTTTTCACAGAGAAAGTGGAAAGAAAAGATTGCATATCTAAGCAATAGACAAAAAGGCCAGCAAGGAATACTTAAATAAATTCTGCTATGTATCTGCCATAATGCAGGCTTCTAATCCTCCTGCCCATCTCCATATAAATGATTCTGTTCAAGACCATAGATGTTTTCTTCACTAAAAGCAGTAAAGCTCTTTTAGATGAAATGTCTAAAAACATCTTGTAATAACTTGGAGCATGCTGGCAAGAGTAGTCACTTGTGACTATGTGTGAAACCCCCTCAGCCAGTCGATATTGTAATAAGCAAAAATGGTAGCATCACTCCATTATTCAGAAAAGCCAACAGCGTGCTTGTTCCTTAGGCTGCAGCATTCATTAAGAAAAGCTTACTGGGCTGAAAGCTGGAAACAGATGATAACGGGATATGATTTTCATATTTAATGCTTTCCTTGGAAGAGTATGTGTGCTACAGATTGATAGAAGAATCAACTGCTACTTTACTAAAAGACTTTCAGGTTTGCCCTATAGCTACCGATGGAATCATTCAGCCAAGAAATTAACTTTTTCTCCTTTTACCTGCTTTATATATCTGCTAAGCAGGCTGCCTGGCTGCCAGTAAATGTTATTATGCAGTTAACTGTTTGGTATTTAAGACTCTTATCAGAAAAGAAACAGAGGCCACACTATTTTGTTTTTATAGTAGGAGGAAGGTTTAGTTTTTCTTTCTTTGGTGCATTAGCGGGCATTAATCTGAGTATATAGGAAGTTTTAGTTTTCCTTCCCCATAGATTAAAAAGTTAAAAAACCTAGAATTTAGAGCATTCTTTAAACTGTAAGATACAAAACACCAAGCCTCAGCAGCCTTGACCTATATTAAAAGGCCTTTAATGATAAATGATTTATATGCCATTAGAAGTGCACCAAATGTGGTATGATGTGATAGATTTCTAAACCGTTCAGGCAGTTTTTCTGTTTGACATTTGGTCATGAAGTAATTGATGTGTTTTTAATCTATAAGCCAGTTTTTTCTTTCTATGCCATCCCTGATAGACACATTCTTAGCATGCCAGTGTCAATGGTACTTAAGTAAATCAGGAGGCCTTTTTTTTCTATTTGCGCCGATTCCTTACCTTACATAGAGTTATGGAGTCTCTTTTTAAGTAATACTTAAAGTTAGGGCAAGAGACATACAGCGAACACCCTATAACATGTTACATATAATACATTTCTTTTAAAGAGTTGACTGTTGCTGTTGACTGCATGTAAATATCAATTAGACAACATTTTGATATGTTGCTGTTTCCAGTGTTCTACTGATGTTCAATCTATTAAAAGATAAATTTATCTCAGCAAAATCATGATTTAGTTAACCCTTATTAGATACTAGTTCTCAAGCAGTTCCTTATCATGTGTGTAGTGTTTTATTTTTCAGTGGAAATCCATGCTCTTTGGGTAGTCTGAACTGGGTTAGGCTCTATGCCCAGAGTTGTTGGTCTCCAGGTACTGAGCACAGTACCTTTTCATTGTTTGAATCTAGTAAATGGTTGTAATCAACTGTTCCATTTCAGAAGCTGCAGTAGGCCCCTATGTGAATGCCAGAATTCTTGCCCTCAGGGTGCATCTCATAAAACATTGTTTATTTTATTGGGGGAGGGGTGTTTTTTTTTTTTTTTTGTAGAGTTTGTTTTTTTTTTGTTTTTGTTTTGCTGTAGGGCACGTATGCTCACCAGAGAGACAGAGACAGAGAAGCATAAAAGCGAGAAATAACTTCCCAGGGGTGATGGCCATGCTGCAGTCCCTTCTCCTCCAGTCTCCTCTCAAGATTTTGGGCATACACACACACACGCACGCGCGTGTCCAGCATGAGTTTCAAGCCACCGGGTTTGGGGCTCAAACCTCAATCAACCAGGTGGGAGTCCAGCACCTTAGCCACTATGCCACCTGCTGGTCCTCATTTTGTTTTATAGTTTGCTATGGGGCACAGGCACTTGCAGGAGAGAAAGATGGAAAATGAGAAATCACCCTCCACCTCCTTTCTCCTTTATTCTCCTCTTGGGATTTTTGGGCATGCACACACATGCACCTGGCATATGTTCAAGCTACCAGGTTCAGCACTCAAACCATGCAGTGAACCATGTGGGACCCAGCTGCTTTAACAACCACATCACCTGCTGACTCAGCAGTGTTCTTTCTAAGGTACAGTTGGTGTGTATTAAGGAACAGTTCCATGGGGTTGGCATGACCTACATGGAGAAGAAGGCTCTCCTTCCTCTGATATAACCCTTGGCTTGGTAGAGAAGGTGGTATCTGAGTTGGTGTTGAAGAATGGATAGGATGTCACTGAGTACAGTTATGACAACATTCTAGGAGTAGGAGGTGTTATGAGTAAAGGAGTGAGAGTGGAGGGCCCAGTGAGTACTTGTCCAGCCTGGCTGAAGCCTGAAGTTCTTGCAGGGAAATGGTAGAGAATAAGCTTGGAAAGGTAGATCATGGTACTGGGTATGGAACTAAGGTACCAGGCTCAAAAACTGCGATAACGTTCATGTGTGCATATGTGTGTATGTGTCAGGACAGACGGAGGAAGGATTTCTGAGCAGACCAGTTACATCACAGCTGTACAGCTGTGGGAGATGAGGGTGGCAGGCTGTGCAGGATGCACAGGGAGAAGTGTATGGAGCTGAGGAAATCAGGATCAGACCAGACAGGAAGTTAGCCAGGGATCTGAAATGGCCATCTAGTGGGGGATTTGTCAAATTAGGAATAATTCTAAATTATCAAAAGATACTTTAAAAAATCATTGTACAGTTTTCAACCATAAACAGTACCTTAGACGCCAGGAGAAGCTATTACATAGTGACTGCCCATTTCTTAAGTGTAGGACTCTGGCTCAGTCGGTGGCATGGCACCCCTTGTTTGCATACATGCAGGGCTGCTCTTTAGAGTCACGTGTCCTCTTCAGAGGATTCATACCTGGTCTACTTAGCCCCCAGCTGCTAATTACTTAGGAAACAAAACAAATAAATAGCAAAAAGACAAAGTTCAGCCCTATTTTAATTTTCAGAAATTTTACTATATATTTTTTTTGTTTTAGTTTGCTATGGGGCACATTCACACACCAGAGAGACAGAGAGAGGGAAAGTGAGAAATCACTGCCCAGGAGGAATGGCCATACTGTAGTCCCTTTTCTTCCATTCCCCTCTTGGATTTGGGCATGCACACACATGTGCCCAGTGTGATTTTCAAGCCAACAGGTTCAGGACTTGAACTGTGCAGCCAGCCATGTGGGATCCAGCCACCTTAATCTCCACCCCACCTGCTGATCCAATTTTACTGTAATGTAATAATCCTTCCATGGAGTATATATCATCATTCCTAAATTTTGGGGTAAGCTCTAATTCTGTTTGTTTCTAGGCATGTTCTTCTGGTTGCTCAAATTTTTTTTGGTATGAGCAGTGATTAGAAATATATGTAAAAACACATCAAAACATATATACTCAAGAGAGATGGAGATGACATGTGTAAGTCATCACCCTCTAAATCTGGGGATGGCAATTTGAAGTTTCTTTGAATTATTAATATGCTGTGAGTACGTTCTACTAGAAGCAGAAGTGTACTAATGACTCCACCAGTGCTGGAGAATTGTGGCCAACCAGAGAATTTCATCACAGAACTCAAGGCTGGCTGAGGGGTGCCACTTCCTTGGTTGTAGCCCTACCTACAAAGACCACTTGAAGAATGTTCATGCAGGTTGTTACTCCGGCTTCAATAGCAGTATAACAATGAGTAATGATCATTGCAGTCTTACACCATGCCAGGTGCTACACTAACATTTTATGTGCATCAACTCATTGAATCCTCTCAATCTACTTCCTCTGGAAGTAGATGCCCCATTTTGTAATAAGGCTCAGCAAGGTTAGTTAACTCACTCAGGACTGCACAGCTAGATAGAGTCAGAACTCAAACCCAGGCCATCTGGCTTCAGCAGAGTGCCTGCCTCTGAACTCTTCACATTTGTGTGTCCATTTAAATTTGCTTTGTTGGGTGAAAGAAATACCTTACACCTCAACCAAGGAAGAACCTGAGGAAGAAAGCCTTAACAGCAGCAGGACCCAGCTATGTGCCTGGTGTGCAGGGGCTGGGGGAGGGCAGGCAGTGGCTTTAGTCATAGATTGGAGTGTGTCAAGAAAGGTGGCCGAGCTGCAGTAGGAGCAGTGCCCCTGTAGGAGAGGTGCCCTACAGAGAGGACAACATCCCAGTGTTGATTGGAGGGGAAGAGACTGTGGCTCCCAGATCTGAGTGGTATTCCTAAGTGCTGGCAGCCACTGCAGTTCCTGCCTCATCTGCAGCAGGTGAACAAACCAGAAACTTTGGAGAGGGGAAACCTGGCTGAAATAAATACCACAGCAAGGGGGAAAGGAGTCCTAAAACTACGTGGAACAGTCGCCTCTATCAGTCCCTTGATCTTTCTAGCTTTAATTTTATTTATTCGTTTATTTATTTCATTACAGAGATAGGCATGCCCAACACGGTCTGCACGCCGTTCCACCAGCCCGTAGTCCAGCACATGCAGTATGCTCAGTGTGTTCAGAGAGGTCCTGGGATGTGAACCCAGGACGTTCTCTATGTCGGCCCAG